CCGTCCCAAACACAGGTGATGCGAAGCTCAGAGGGTGGCCATGGACAGAAGCAGGACACAGCACAGAGCGCCGGGAGCCACGGGCGATGGCTCCACCTGGGGCCCGTTTCTGGGGCCCGACTGCTCTGTGAGGACTTCGTGAGGTCAGCCAGGCACTGCCCACAGTACTGTGACTGGCAAACAGCCAGGACTTCACGGAGGCGTGCGGCTCTTGTGGGTCATACCGCAGACATCGCCACGTCGAACGGAGGCCTTATATGGTCACGTGGCCATGGCTGCCAGTCCACAAACACAACCAGGTGTGACAGCACCACCCTCTGGCTTGTCTTTAACTGAGATCCGAAGCCAGACATGGGGTCCATGGCCCCGAGGCACAGGGCAGGCCCTTCCTGGTCCCACCACCAGTGGAGGGTGCGCAGGAGACGTGGAGGTACAGTATGTGAGTGGTTAGCAAACAGGCAATAGCAATGACATACGGAGGCGCGTTGGTAAGAATGAGTGAGGGGCTGAGGCCCAGAGCCGGCTTCCCCAGCAGCCTGGGGTCAGCGGGGAAGTGGGTGGGGCACCCTGCCATCAGCAAGGACGCCCGCAGGACATGAGGAGAAACAGACACGGAACGAAGCCCAGGGTGAACATCCGCGGGGCTGAGCGCTGACTCTGCACCCCGAGTTTTATGTGGGTGTTATCACCAACTCAGAAAGGTGATGCGCTCAAAGACCTGGGTGTGCCCAGCTCCCAAGGCCGGACTCCTGGTCCATCCTCAGAGCCGTCGCCTGGAGGGGGCACATCAGAACCCCTGGGCGATTTCTCTAGTACTGCTTTCCACCCGCGCTCTAGCTGGGCTGACCCCGGATCTCGGAATGGGGCTTGGACACGCACAGTACCCCACAAAGGCTGCAGAGGTGCTGGCGGGCTCTCCCGGCTAACAGCGGCGCTGTCACCAACAGCAGGGCCCCTCCCGGAAAAGGCCCTCTCTGCCTTTCGCGTCACCGCCGCCGAGCTTCTGAAAGGTGCGGACTGGTTGGACTTCTGACGTCTGCATCTGTGCTAACAAATACGCCGAGAGCAGACACGCTGTGAAGCAGGACAGGCATATGGTGGCCGTGGGTGACCTGTGTGTGACGGGGACAGTTTAACAGGCTGAGCTGACAACAGACTCCCCTGAGCCAGCTTATGGGGGGCGGTGCGCCACCTTGCGGTTGTCTCTGAATTCCCCCCTTCCTCGGAGATGTCACTGTGCCCCCAGGCCAGGGTGAGCCGGGAAGAGGAAGAAGAGGAGAGACCAGCTGGACCGGCATTGCCTCTGGAGGCCCCGCTGCCGGTTCTCGCCAGCCCCACCTGCAGCTCCAACCCTCCTGGACACACGGATGTTCTGCCCAAGGAGGCAGAGCCCGGGACCAGAAGGTTCCACTCTGCCCCCTCTCCGCTCCCCGCGCGGTGCAGAAAGGCGGTGTGCCACCTCTTAGAGGGAAAAGGGTCCTGCTGATTCTGAGTAATTATTCCCGATCTGCCACGATATTACTTCTGATGCTTACTTTCTGCATCAACGTGGTCACGCCAGGGTACTCAGATACATATCGTCCAACAGTTTTCTAGACATTTCTGCAAAGGTTTGTTTTAGATTAGATTCGCATTTAAACGATTAGACTTTGAGCCACGCAGATTGCCCTCCGTAACGGGTGGGCCTCATCTGATCGGTTGAAGACCTGAATAGAAAAAGCTGCCCGCCCTCACCTCCGGCCAAGGACACATCGAAGGAAGTTGATCATTCAGGCAGCAGATGGTCTTTGGACCCAAACTCCCACTCTGTCTTAGGTCTCCAGCCTGCTGACCCTGCACTGCCAGCCTCCGCGACCACGAGACAGTTCCCTGAAATAAACCCCTCTCTGAGCTACGTGGGTGGACACGTGTGTGCGCACACACATGCTACCGGTTCTGCTTCTCTGGGAAGGCTGGACCAACAGGTCAAGCGTGTGTCAAGCACCCCTGCGGTGCCAGGCAGAGACGGAAATGTCACCGTAAAAACAGCACGGAGGCCCCAGGGCCATCTCATCCGATCCCCTTTCTATGGGAAACTGAGACCCAGAGAGGGCAAGCCTCTGACTCAGGGTCACACAGCAGGGTGGTGCTGAAGCCCAGAACTGAACTCACCCACGCCCTCTCATTCAGTGCCCTGCCCGCCGGGCCACACTGAGGCCTCGGGAGCAGCATGCAATTTAATTATGTGGTAAACGGAAAGAAAGATAACACCAGCAGGGGTTTCGTGAAGCACTTGTATGCCAGGCTCTAAGCTCACGGCTTTCGTACGCTTATTCATTTAATCTCAGCAACCCCGCGGGAGGCATTACTATCCCTTTCGACAGATAAGCCAGGAGGCAGAGAGGGAAAACAATTCCTCCAGGGCAGAGCTGCTGGCCTGTGCTGGGGGGGGGGAGCTTGCCCTCGCTCCCTCCGTACATCTGAGCTCTGGGAAAGGGGTACAGGTGAGAGAGGCTAATCATGACCGAGGGACACAGCCACACTCCCCTCCGTGCTTGGTCTCCCCACTCAGCCCTCTGCTCTGAGCCCCTCCTTGCTGCAGGAGCCTCCGCACAGGGAGCCCCGGGGAGGGAACGCCTGCTCCCGGGCACCCCCTCTGCGGATCCAGGGGGATTTGCTAATGCGCAGCCTCCCGGGGATTTGGAGGAGCAGCCCCCAGGGGAGGCAGGGGGTGGGTTTAATTCTTTGCCTTGCCAGGTGGGAAGGCAGGCTGGGCCGCATTGAGCCCGCGGAATTGGAGGGGCCCAGATGGATGGCGCATGAAGGAGAACCGGTCTCGAGAAGAAATCAGCGAGTTGTGCCCCGGGGACGAGTTCATAGCTCGGCACCCACAAGTCGGCTACTTTATCTGACTCGGGGAGACGCCAGGGAGTCTTTCTTCTTTGACACACATCCCCCAAAAAGCCAAGAGAAAACATTTTTAAAGATACCATACTCCATGTCTGCTATGAGTCTATTCCCGTCCTGCTTTTACACGTATTAACGCCTCAAATCGTCTTGAAAACACAGGAGTTAGCCCGTTTTAGAGTCGAGGAACCTGAGAGCCCACGAAGATGGAGACCCCCCACCCCCCCCAGCACAGCAGGCGTCTGAGACCAGAACCTTCTCTCCCAGTCACAGCAGCCTCAGAGATGCGCCAGGTCCTGCTGCAGCAGAACCAGACGGGCTGGATGAGCAGCAGCGACCCCCAGCCCGCCGCCCACGCCAGGCCCCGGGCTTCTGGACAATCCCTGTCCTGTCCCTCCATCCCCTTCTGTCTGCGAGGACAGAGCGGACGTCAGCTCAGTCACCACCGCCTTCTCCATGAGCACTGTCCATGCGCTGGTGTCAGTCACTGCGACACACTCCTGCAGCAACACCCACGCGTGCCAGGCACGGGCTGGGCCCCGGCCTAAGGAGCCAAATGGGGGGACTTCTGCTCCCAGCCACGCAGCGCCCAACGCAGCAGGGACAGAGATGCTGACTGTGGAGGGAGCCCCGGGAGAGAGAACGTCTGCTCAGGAAATCAGAGAGTGCTTCCCGGAGGGGGTGGCCTCTGAACAAGCCACTGGGGGATGTGCAGGGAGCTGAGCACTGAGTTCCTTCAGGGCAGAACATTCTCATCCCCAAATGTTCCCGTGGCCCCAGCAAAGGCCCTTGTCTTGAAAATGCTTTGAACTGGTCTAGGGCCTTCGGCATGCCCTGGTGCCCCATGCCCCCGGGGAGCAGGTCTGCCCGGAGGCTCCCCGCCGCACAGGTGCGATGTGAGAAGCAGGCCGGGCAGGGGTGAGGCCGGGCTGTGATGCAGTCGTGCAGAAGCTTAGGGGGCCCACGGGGAGTCTGGAGCAGGGCTGGGTCTGCAGCGGGGAGTCAGGACTGATCTAGGGGACACACAGGCCCCAGTCACGACGCAGGGCCTGTGCTTGGCTCTGGGAAGGCAGAGGAAACAGAGAGCCCGCCTTCGCACTGGAGCCCCGGAGCCAGCCACGCACCAGGTGGCGCCGCCAAGTCCACCGCGCCAGCTGGCTCCGCCTCCCACTCCCTGTCACTTCAGCCAGGGGCTGGGTCCATGCTGGGGACACCGGTTCCTGAAGGCTCGGTGCCTGCCCGAGGTCCGGCATCTACAAGGCATGGAGTCCACTTTCAAAGCAGTTCTCCTGGGCTCTAAAGTCTGTTCCTATAGAGAGATGCTATGCGTATCCCAAATAGATTCTACGTCCACCGATCTGTCTGTCTGTCTACCAATCTATCTATCTGTCTGTCTATCTTTCCATCTGTCTACCATCTATCTGTCCATGTCTTATTGGTTCTATTTCTCTAAAGAACCCAGAATGACACAGGCTGGTTATTTCTGAGCAGGTCCCTAATAAAAATAACCCGACCGGCTCAGGAGAAACATGGACAGGAAGTTCTGTGTGTGGCCAACGCCCCGGGCATCAGAGAGTAACTGCAGGTGTTTCTGTGGAAGGAGGAACCAGGGAAGGGTAGGAAGTCACCGAGCACCTGCTGAGTACCAAGCACTGGAGTTTGCATCCACGACAGCCCAGGGCACACACACGACCCCATGAGACTCTACAGATGGGGAAGCTGAGGCTCAGAGAAGCGAGCAGACGAGACACGAAGCCAGCTTTTGAAGCCAGCTCAGTGATAGCCAGCTTGCAGGGTTCCCACGTGGTCTGGGGGAGCCCCGCACACAGGTCCCGTGGCGTCCAGAGACCCACATCTTTTGAGGGACCAGGTAGAAGAGGTGCCACACCCAACCCCGATCCCTGCATCTGCCCCGGGGCCCAGCATCTGGAACACGTCTGGTGCATGCAGCAGCGATCAAAAGAGCGGATGGGTGGGCAGACCACAGGAGGGACACACAGAGCAAAGGGTCTCCGAAGGACACCGTTGAAACCAGCGGGCACCTCCCAGAACACGCACCCCGCAAGCGAAGTCTGCCAGTCTGGGGGCCAGCCCCGCCCCCACGCTGACCTTACCTCTGAGGACGTGGGCTTGCAGTATCCAGCGCCGAAGACCAGGCTCTCCAGGGACAGGCTGGACTGTTCCGGTCCCGAGTCGGAGCTGCCCTTCCCAAGCCAGGAGCCTCTTCCCGGACGAGTGAAACTGGACCGGAGAGAAGTAAAGAGGGAGAGGAATGTGGAGGAAGCGAAGATTCCACCACGCCAGCCCCTTGGGGCGGTGGCGGGGAGCCCACACGAGAAGCCCTTTGGAAGGGGTGGTTCTGATCGGATCGCGGACGTCAGAGGCTGCTGTGAATGAAGCACCAGTGTTAACGCCAGTTGGGAACACGGCACCTGCTCACAGACCAGCGGGCAGGCCCTGCCCAGCCTGGCGTGCCAGCAACCCTCAAGGCAGGCTCGCAGGAGATCCGGGAAGTAGTGTGATGACTTACGTTTATTTTACTCGGGTCCATGATCACCTCCTTGAACTTTCTGATTGCCATCCACTGATCAATTGACAAAGTCTACTTATACCCATTTCCCCTTTGTACCCGACCTCTCCCGTCAACATGCTAACGGTCGGCTGACTTGCACTGTAATACCATTTTGTAGGCGTGCCTTCTTCCCCGGTGAGATGCGCAGTTTCGAATGGCGAAGAGGCCTTGGTGATAAATAGCCCCGGACGGCAGCACCTCCGGCCTAGGTGCTCAGGAAATACTCCAGGAAGGTTTTAATCCAAGAGACCGCGTCTGCTTAAACTACGGACAGGGGAATGAGGCTAACGCTATATTTCTGCTTAATTCATGTGTTCAAATATCCCCGAGGCTCCTGCCTCATGCCGGGCAGTGGGTAGCGGTCACGGTGCAAGATGGTGAAGGCACACCCTCCCTGTAAGGACGTTCTGGTCTAGAGAGAGGCAGATGTAACATGAGGGAGGGACACTCAGGCCAGTGAGCACGGAGCCGTTTATACGCCAAACTGGGGGAGAAGGATGAATAGCCAGAGGTCGTTCGAGTAGAGTGTGGCCAAGCGGCTGGGAGGCGGCCAGGGTGCGACCCGGGCAGCTGTGTGACACGGGCATAGTTTTCCAATGTCCCGGTGCCCCCGTTTCCCCGGGGTCATTGTGAGGACTTCAGGAGGCCAGCCGGGCACAGCCCTCGGTACTGTGTCCGGCAAATAGCCGTGACTTCACGGAGGCGTGCGGCTCTTGTGGGTCATACCACATCGAACGAGGCCTTACACAGTCACGTGGCCATGGCTGCCAGTCCACAAACACAACCAGGTGTGACAGCACCACCCTCTGGCTTGTCTCTAACTGAGATCCGAAGCCAGTGCCCAGCACAGCAGGGAGGACCATTCCAGAGGAGGGAGATGTATCGGGGCAGCGGTGCCCCTGGCACCTTCGGGGGACAGACTGCGAGTGACCGTGAACGTGGCGGGTGATTTGACCAAAGTGCAGTCCTGATCCCTCCAGCGGATCGAAGTCCCTCAGCTGAAACCCAGCTGCGTCCGTGAGGGGTCCGTACGGGGTTCTCTCCTTCAGTCTGCTTCAGGGAAGGGGTTGCTTGCTTTTTTAAAAATATGTTTTTATTGATCTCTTTTTAGAGAGAGGGGAAGGGAGAGAGAGAAAAACATCGATCGGCCGCCTCCTGCACGCCCCGTCCTGGGGATCGAGCCCACAGCCTGGGCATGTGCCCCGACCGGGACTTGAACCGGGACCTCTCAGTCCGTGAGCTGATGCTCAGTCCACCGAGCCACACCGGCCAGGCTAAGGGGTCTTTTGAGGTTACGTGTTAATTTCACACCTGCTTCCTTCTGACCGAATTTGATTCGTGTTTTGGAAATGGCTTTTCTGGAGAGCACAGGAGCCTGCTCTACTTGGCAGGTATTTTCCGTCACTCCCAAGGTGCCTCTGTCCCCAGCCGCTGAGAGCTAAGGAACAGAAATCCGTCCGCAGAGAGCAGAGACAGTTCCGTTTCCACCCCATCCCTGGAGGAGTCTGAGCGCTGACGGCGAAGGTCTCTGCTCCTCTCCGGCGAGGGGGCCGGAACAGGGCCCTCCCCGCTGCCTGGCCTCTGTCCCCACGTGGGAGTCACTCAGTCTTCAGGGACAGGACCCATTGGCATCCCTGCGTTGGAGGAAGATCAGGTGTCTCGGGATGTTACACGACTTCTCAAATACGCTCAGTGGAAAAAATGCCAAGCCGGGTGGAGAAGCCAAGTCTTCAGGTCTGGTCTGCAGGTTACCAGTCCCGGCTCCGTGCCTGTGTCCCTCAGCTCCCGGTGCCCTTCGCTGCCCCCACCGCCTCTCCCCTGCCCTGTGGGGCGGCTCAGCCTGACCCTCAGCCTGGGGGCAGCTTCTCTGGTCTGTGCCGATCGTCACCGGCCACCTCCATGTCTCCCACGCACCCTCCACGGCGGAGGGACCAGAAAGTGCCCGCCGGTGCCGCGGGGCCCGTTGACCCCTTACCTGATCAGGGGCTGCTGCAGAGCCACCAGGGCGGCGTGGACGGTCACGGAGATCACCGACAGGTGGAAGTAGTCGAACATGACGGGGACCTGGTGGTGCAAGCCTCTGCAGGGATGGAAGTGCAGGCCGAGCGTCCGGCTGCTGATCACGGGGGCCCCTGCCACGCCCCGCAGCCTGGAAGGCAAGCGCGTGAGGGATGCTGGGGCCTCGTGCGGCCGGGCAGGTCTCCGCGACAGCCCGGCCACCCACCAGCCTCGCCTCCTCTCGTCCCCCCCTTGCCGGGACTGTCCGGTAGAAACTGTTTTCCCGGGACAGGCAGATGAAGAAACTGAGGCACGGAGCAGGGGAGAGAGACATCACCGCTGCTACGGCGGGTCAGGGCTCTCGCCCTGGTCACCGACGCCGGCCACCATCAGTCATGGGGGAAGGACACCCGGACCCTCTCCCAGGCTCATCTCCACAGGGAACCCGCCTGCCACCTGCCACCTCGCTTGATGTCCTCACCGACGCCCGCTGCTCTGCCTTCCCGAGTCCATTTTCTACCTGACTCCTCCCTCGTAAGACCAGGAAACGTGCCCAAGCCGTCTCCGTGTCGCCCACACCAGCACAGGTCGGGGCACACCGCACGGGCTGGCCAAAGGTGCGCTCGTGAAAAGGGGCAACAGAAAGACTATATACACCCCTGGTTCACGGCAGCGTTATTGACAACAGCCAAGACCTGCAAGCAACGCAAATCCATAGACGAATGGACTAAAAAGAGGTGGCACCTATAGACAATGAAACATTACTCGGCCATAAGAAGGAACAAAGTCTCACCATTTGTGACAACATGGATAAACCTAGAAGGTATTCCGCTAAGTGAAGAAGTCAGTCAGAGAAAGACTAACACCCTAGGACCTCACCTACATGTGAATCTAAAGAACAGAATAAACGGACAAGGCAGAGGAAGACGCGTAGATTCGGAGACTGACGGTTGCTGGGGGGGTTGGGGCTGGGGGAAAGGTGAAGGGATCAGAAGTGCTCATTGGAAGTGCTCATTGGCAGCTACGAAACAGTCACAGGCTGTAAAGTGCGGCAAAGGAAACAGGGTCCATAACGTGGTAATGACCAGGTGGGCACCAGACCTACCGGGGGAACCCGTGTAAAGTGTCTGAGTATCGAACCTGCTGTACGCCTGAGACCCATACAGAGCAATGCTGCACGTCAGCTGTAACCGAAAACGGAAATGAAGAAAGGACGGCCGACGGAATGGAGGGAGGAAAGGCTCGCGAGCACACGGTTGAGTCGCCCGGTTTCTAGGTCCCCCACGGGTGCCGCTCACGCCCTCACTGGGACAGGGCCGATCCCTGAGAGCTCACCCAACCGGGGGATCCCGCACCAGTCTGCCACCTCAGAGCCATGACTAACCCAGGACCAGGGCATGGGGATGTATGGAGGGGTCAGATGGGGAAGGTGCCGGGCACTCGAGCCGGGAAGTCAGGGGTGCGCTGAGCCTAACGGGCAGGGCTTTGCCCGGACCGTGCAGACACGCTCAGCCCACAGGCCCGCGTGGGCAGGGACGGAGGGCGCGGCAGCTGGGGCACTGAGGACGTCCTGCGGATGGAGGGCGCGGAGGCCCCGGGGAGGGGCGGGCGGATGCAGGACCAGCTCAGGATGCTGGGACACTCACTGTTGCTCACTGTCCGTAAAGTGCAGGTCCACCTTGAGCTGAAAATCGACTTCGCTCAGTGCCTCTTCCACCTGGGAGAGAAACAAAGCCCGGGGAAGTCAGGGGTCATGTCTGGTCCACGTGAAAACCTCAGCTGGTGTCCCCGGAGCGCAGAGGCCGGCTCTGCCCCGGACCTCGGCGGCGCAGGACCACTGTGGAACGGCCACGCGCGCCCTGGCATTCTGGCTGAACGGGACGTGCTGGGTGTGACGTGGAAAACAGGGGGTTTACGTGGTTAAATTTGGAGGAGATCCAATGCGTTAAAAAAATCCTAGTTAAATAAGGTTTCTATGTTGCAGAACTTCGGCGAGCCTCGTCCCCAGACAGATCTGACGTGGGGTGGCTTTCAGGGGGGGCTCCGTGTTCCGCCACAGAGCGTCTCAGGGCCTGTGCAGAGGAGGCCGCCCAGCCAGTGACAGGTAACACTGGAGGTGCGGTCGCCTGGCGGGCACTGCTGTCCAGGTGGACAGAGAAGCTGACGCTCAGGAAAGCGAAGGCACTTCCCAAGGTGGCCCGGCGTCCTGTGCAAGCCCATCCTTGCTCGAGAGCCGTTCTGCGTCTCCATTTGCACTGGAAGACACTGAGCGTTTTGGGTCCCCTCATGGCCACGTCCATACTGAAGTTTTCAAAAAGTCTGTTTTCATTCATAAGCACAGGAGTCTGTGTGTCATACCTGTCTGATTCTCTCGGGCATCTCACAGATGCACCCCTTTCTCCTGTTCCCACAGGAGACACCAGCACCCCTCAATGCCAGCACTCGCCCTGCCCAGGCGGTGGGGACACCCTGGCCCCCAGGCCGCGCGGAGTCCTTCTCCCTGGGGACCCGCAGCCCTGCTCTGTGTCTGTCTCAAGGTGTCCTGTGACATGGGTCTGCCTCAGGTGCACAGCCTGGGAGCCTGGAGCGGATTTCAGCTGCAGACACATTTGGTTTCGTTCTCGTGAAGTGGCAAACATTTCAAAACCAGGCAATTTCACGTTTCTGACTCATTTCAGCGTGTAAAGGGAAAAAAAAAAAAAAGAAAGAAAGAAAGAAAGAAATCCCTGGATCTGGCCTGCATTTGGAAGATCCCCCTGGGTCGCGCTCACGGCCGTCACGGGCAATCAATCCCGCAGCCCTGGCTAACCCCCCTGCTGCTCCCTGCCCGGTGTCCCCAGCCCTCCGGTGTCATTAGGGAGAGGCTGTCCTAATCCCTTTCGGATCCTCGTGTCCAGGAACAGAGCCTGCCACACAGGAAACATCAGTTTGTCTTGAGGAATAAATAGGGCCACTCGCCACCCCCACCGCCCTGGGTTCCGTCTCTGCCGGAATGTTCTCACCCTGCAGAGCAGGAAATCTCTCACCCAAGGCCTCTTTGGAGAGAGGTTTCTGGTGGGTGTCACTCAGGCAGAGACATATGGATGCGGTTTATCTTTAGCTTTCCAGTGCTTTAAAATTTGTTGTTAAAAAAAAGCACTGAGAAGTTCACCCCCCGCTGGATCCCAGCGAGGAACCCCATCTCCCGGCTCCGTTTTGCATACTCAGGAACCTCGCGGTGTACACACAGCCGGCTCCTGGGAAGTGAGCCGGGCGCGCTCCAACCACCTGCTCGGCCGGCACGTGCCCGTGAGTGCGAATTCACGGTGCAGCCCGCGTCCAAACTCGCCGCGGTCCCTGTGGAACTAGGAGAAGCCCGGGCCAGGAGGAGCTGGCCTCGTGAGGCCCGTTTATGACGTTGCTGATGTCGAAAATATGTCACTGCAAGGTGTCCCAGCATGAAGTCACTGGCTTCTCTAACCGTTCGTTTCCTCTTTGGCTGTTGGCCTCCTGCCCTGCCCCCCCAGCACACACACACTCACACACATACACATGCACACACATGCACATGCATGTATACACGGGTCCTTCCGATGCTGTCTTATCTTGGTTAAGGACATCACCTCCCTTCAAGGGTCCCCCCCCCTCGCTTTCTCTCTCTCTTTTGCTCTCTCTCTAGCACCAGGAAGCAGTTTTGTGTATAGTAGTGAAAGTAACAGCAGCTAGTATTTACTACAAACTCATGATGCAGCCAGCATGTAGTCCCCCTCCATGCACTACCTCATTTAATGTGGATAAAACTACTACGCTCGGCCTGGCCAGTTTGGCTCAGCGGTTAGAGCATCAGCCCGCGGACCAGAGTCACAGGTTCGATTCCGGTCAAGGGCATGTACCTCGGTTGTGGTTCCAACCCCGACCCTGGTCTGGGTCATTCAGGAGGCAACCAATGGCCGAGTCGCTCTCCCATCTCTCTCTCTCTCCCCCCTTCGCACTCTATCTGAAGATAAATGGAAAAATATCCTTGGGTGAGAATTTAAAAATATATATATATATATATATATATATATATATATATATATATATATATATATATAATGCTCAGTGAAATAAGCCAGTGACAGAAAGACAAAGATCCCAGGACCTCACTTCCATGTGGAATGTAATGAACGAAATAAACCAGCAAACAAAATGGGCCCAGAGGCAGGGAGGCCCGGAGCCGATGACAGCGCTCGGGGGCGAGGGGGCTGGAGGGGACTAACCTGAGAACAGATCTGCACAGATGTGTAGCCCGTGGACACAGACAATGGTGCGGCCAGGCCTGGGGTGGGGTGGAATGGAGGCAGCAAAGTGGGGGGATGTGGGGGACTCTGCAAAAATGTCAACAATGAAAAAAGCAGCGTTGCCCCCCTTTTCCAGTGAGAAAATGGGGGCCGGGTGTGGTGAGACACTTTGCAGCTAAGCTGTGATCTGCTCCTGTCCCCCAGCATCTCGTTGACAACGATCTTCACCTGGGCTGCTGGGAAGCTCAGCCCTCCCTCGGGGCCCAAGGGACGTCCAGGCCATCTGTGCCCTCAGCCCTCCACGGGGCCCGAGGGACGTCCAGGCCGTCTGTGCCCTCAGCCCTCCCACGGGGCCCGAGCACACATCCAGGCCGTCTGTGCCCTCAGCCCTCCACGGGGCCCGAGCACACGTCCAGGCCGTCTGTGCCCTCAGCCCTCCACGGGGCCCGAGCACACGTCCAGGCCGTCTGTGCCCTCAGCCCTCCACGGGGCCCGAGGGACGTCCAGGCCGTCTGTGCCCTCAGCCCTCCACGGGGCCCGAGGGACGTCCAGGCCATCTGTGCCCTCAGCCCTCCCACGGGGCCCGAGGGACTCCCGGCCGTCTGTGCCCTCAGCCCTCCACGGGGCCCGAGGGATGTCTAGGCCATCTGTGCCCTCAGCCCTCCCACGGGGCCCAAGGGACTCCCGGCCGTCTGTGCCCTCAGCCCTCCACGGGGCCCGAGGGACGTCCAGGCCATCTGTGCCCTCAGCCCTCCCACGGGGGCCCGAGCACACGTGCAGGTGGTTTGTGCCCTCAGCCCTCCCACGGGGCCCGAGGGACGTCCAGGCCGTCTGTGCCCTCAGCCCTCCACGGGGCCCGAGGGCTCGAGCACATCCAGGTGGTTTGTGCACTCTGGTCTGCTTCGCTTACGCCGAGCTCCTAGCCCCTTGCCCTGTTTTCCTGTGCTCTGGCTCATCCGAAGGCTCTTTCATTTCCTTTTACTGTTCCATGTATTTTGTGAGCTCTCCCCAAGCTCTGGGACATTGTGCAGACTGTTTATATTAAATACCTATCTCCGTCCACACTCCTATTCTCTGCGACCGTCGTTAGAACATCCCATCCTATGAGGACCTCTGCCCTCACGGCTGTGCCCTCACCGTGGGGACTGAACCTGCTCACGCCAGGGTTTCCGTAGCATGCGGAACAGCACGCTTCACACATGGGCAGCGCCTACAGGTCTGCGACCGCAACGCTGCGAGCGTGTGTGAGCAGGAACTGGGCCGTCCTGCGATAAGCAGGTAGATACTGGAAAAGAGCTCACCGATCCAGATACAGTTGTATGGGCATATCCAATTAGCCTTAATTGCCCCTGATTTGTATGTAATGACTGGCTGCAGCACTGCTGCGTACGCGCTACCCCCCCCCACACACCCCACAGGAGTGCACCCTTCGCTTGCAGAGACAGGTGACTCGATCTGCAGACGGAAGCAATGCCTGCAGCCCAGCAGGTGGCCTGCTCAGCCTCAGGCCCGAGGCTGTGGCAGCCTGGCCTGAGCTCACCCTGGGTGTCAGGAAGACTAAATCACAGAGGCTCTGAACTCTTGGGCAGGACTGAGGCTCAGATGGCATGCAGATGAAGTGACGCCCAAGCCGCCTGAGGAATGGCCACGCCGCCTCCAGGGCGGCTGCTGTGCGGGAAGGTCTCTCTGCTCAATGACAACGGCCCTCTGGGGAGCACGTGGCGTTCTCGCTGGAGTTCGGGAAACCGAGCGCGTGCACAGCCCTCACCGGGAGATCCTTCACGCCCCACCCCAGGTGCCTTTTCCTAAACCAAGTCCCTCCAGCAGGGTCAGGACGGAGGTGGATGGCACACTCCAAGGGCCGTCCGGGAAAGGGGTGATTTATGGTGTGGGGCAGACTCTGGAGAGCAACCACCCATCAGTCCCTCGAGGCTGGTGACCACAGGCTTCCTGAGCACCCGGGGCCGGAAGGGTCAGGCAGGGGAGTGGAGATCAGACCTGAAGAGGGAGCTACACGGAGTGGGCCCCACAGAGGCCTCTGGTAGCAGGACACAGGCAGTGGGGTGCTGGTAACACCGCCCCTCTGGAGGGAGAAGAACCCTGATGTGGAGCACTGCCAATTCCTGTGGTGTAAACATTTCCATCACAATCGCCTTCCAGCGACTAACAAAGTCACCGAACGTGGAGGCGGGAAGAGCTGTGTATCGGTGGCTCTCTGGTACACACAGGCCTCAGCACACCAGTGGACACAGACCCCAGCCTACGGCCCAGCACTTGAGGACCCCAGGGAGGGAGCATTCTGGTCCCGCTCTCCCCTCTCCCTCCAGGCACCCACAGAACCGCTCCTGGGCTGAACCCAAGGAAAAACAGAAAGGTAAGGACGCTACTGACTGGTGCTTGCAGCCAGCCCCCAGGGCCCCAAGCAGGCGGGGACGGCACAGAGGGGACAGAAGAGCAGTCAAAAGACAGGCAGCACCCCTACGAGGGCGAATCCCGGCTTTCTGATTTCCCTTGCAGACCAAATGTCTGCAGTCACTGTTCTGGCAAAGGCAGGTGGGGGGCAGGGTAACGGGGTACACTGGGATATTCCTTTCTGTTTGCAAAGAAGAGCTTTAAAGGGTGTAAAACAAGGGGAACTCAAAATTCCATCCAGGCATTTGCCAGCTAAGCCGTCCACTCGTTATTGCTGAGAATGCCCAGGGTAGTCCTGCGGCAAGCTCTGGGGACGCAGAGGGACGGGGACCCCAGCCCTGACAAGCCTGTGACCGGCAGGAGAGCAGCAACAGTCGGAAATGATGAAAACCGCCGCTGCACCCTTCAGACTGTCCGACTGTCCGAGAGTCAGCTGCGCGCTCCTTCCCGGGCCGGGCCCCACCTACCGCTCCGCCTTCATCTCCCACTCCTGCCCCGCACACTGGGCAGGTCCCCTCGGCCCTGCTGCTTTTCCTGGAACCACCAACCTCATTCCCACCTCGGGCCTTTGACCCTGCTGTGCCTCCCCCAGGGATGCCAGGCTCCTCCCAGCATCTGGTCTCAGCTCAGAGCGGGCTTCTCAGGGCAGCCTCTCCTGTCTGTCACCTGCCGTCCAGGGGACGATCTCCATCTCTGTGCAGGCTGCGCAGAAGCTGAGCTCTGGGCAACCTCATGATCAGAGGGTCTCCTGAGGCAGCAGCAGGTCCTGCACAGTGGGCCCGCCAGGACTTCTCTCCCTCTGTGGGTGGGTCCAGTGGAGCGTCACGGGACCGCCAACGAGGGAGCAGCGTCCACTCCTAACGCCCTGGTAAGCTGACCTCACGAACCAGTGAGCCGAGCATACAGCGTGGGAGGGCTCAGACAGAACGTGCATGATTTATTTATCTGACTGCGTGGTGATACATTGATCTAACGTGAACACATAAGCCCCAAGACACCGGGGATAGTTTCTCGTTTGCTATTTTATCTTTAGCCCATCACAGGGGTGCTAGAGTGCTCAGTAAATCTCGGATGGATGGATGGATTACTGAATGAAGAATGAGCGAGAACATTGTACTTCTGGTCGCGCAGGGGAATGCGGTCACTGCTTAGACCAGAAGAGAGGAGGACAGAAAGCCATGCGGTGAGTACGTGCAGGAAGGTCCTAGGACCATGCGTCCCCCTCTGTCCGATCCCAGAGCCCATCCGTAGCTTCGCTGGCCATTCAGCCCCGGTGGAGATGAACAGCACCCGGAGGAGCGTGGCTGCGGCGGATCCCACAACTTACCCGTTCACCATCCAGGAGCAGGTGTGCTCGGAAGACGGCCGCGTCGCTTATGGGCACCTCCTCGTTCCGGTACAAGATCTGGAAGACGCGGCTGTGCACGGTGGTCTCGTGGGCAGAGGCCGAGTGCAGGCTGCTGTCCTCTGCAAAACAAGAATCCAGGACCATCTGGACCTGCAGCCCCCTCAGAGGTCTGCCCAGACCAGGGACAGTGGCCCCAGACTGCATTCCGTGCCCGAAGATGAAAATCACAGGAGAAGGTGATCCCATCACAGAAAGACTCTGTTCACTGAGTGGGGCTGGCATCCCAGAACCTGGTTCAACCCCTCACAAGCTGCACGATCTCGGCCAAAGCACTCGTCACAGTGTCGGCCACAGAGTTCCTCACCTGCGGACATGCCCCCTCCTCCATGGAGCCCTCCATGATCCCCTCCCCTGGAAACGATGAGAACAGGGAGCTGAGGACAGAAGCTGCCCTTTGCCCACAAGGCCAGCCTCACGCCCACAGAATCGCCCTGTGCGGCAGGACCTGAAGGACACCCTGTCTTGAGGTTCAGATGAAGGTGCTCATTCTAATTGCCGTTGGTATGAAGTTCTTTAAAGGGACTTGCTCACCTCCGTGTCCCCCATATATTCCGGATCTCCCCTAACCCCTCCAGACCATTTCCAAGTCAGGTTGAACTTCAGGGTGACGCACCTAACCATGAGGCTGGGCGACCTGGACCACTGACCAGGGTTGTCATGGGGAGTTCCTTCAAATCACTGGACACATAAACCACACACTCGGGAAGGCACAGGACTATTCTGAAGTAACACAGTCATCTGTATAGAAGACAATGATCACCTTCTCATGTAATGACCGACTACGTGTTATCATGGCTTCCAACGTGCTTTCAAAGGTGTGACTGCCCTTAGTCCTCACAGAAATTCGCCGGCACGAATTTAACCACAGACGGGAAAGGGGACGGCATCCGGCTACTTGCTAGGTGACCAGGTACCACGGGCTCCATGTTCTCTTCACATCGAAATGTGCGCCATGCATGCTCTGCATATCCACGCACTGCTGATGTTCAGCACGCGGATGATGACCCTCCCTCCGCTGAGTGCCCTCTGCGGCCCTGGAGGTCTCTGGGAAGGGCGTGCGGAGTGCACACTTCGGGTGCCCAGAGTCAAAGCCCACAGCGCGCCCCTGGACTCTTGACTGTGCGGCGAGCCCTCTCCCACTCTGAGACCGTGAGCACGCCTGCCCAGAGGTGCTCCCAGAGGGTCAGGCCTGAGCTGAACGGTCAGAACTCTGGGAGGCCCCCTCCAAAGCCGCCAGGTCTGATGACGGCTGGGTGAGGTCTGGGGTGTCACAAAGAAGATGCCGAGAGGCAATCCCTGAGCTTCTTCAAACCCAGGCTATATTGATACGGAGAATCAATCCCCCGACACGTTAGCGCCCAGGGAAGCGGGAGGGCCAAGTTCGACTGTAAGCAATTCAAAGTCAGCGCCGTGGCTTTGCATGGCTTGGACCAGGACCTCCTTCTGGCAAGGCCAGCACACACTCCACGTGTCCCCACCTCCCCACCGTGTGGCCTTGAGCTGGCCATGCGATCCGAGCTCGCGGGAGGGAGAACCATGCCTAGTTTTCACGGCGAACGTGAGGCCCCGATGAAACGCGGAGTGAGAAGCGTGTGTTCAGCTGCATCGCTCTCCAGACCTGCGCCGACCTCCCGGTGGGCGGAAGACGCCGTGGGGGCCTACACCACACGGCTCCGCCGGCTCGGGGAGCAGGGCCGGCAGAACGCCACCTGGGCTCAAGCTTTACCGTCTTTTCTCACCGTTTCGGAGAACAGGCCGCCGGGAAGCCACCTTGCGGCAGGTGCTCACCGTTTCTCCAGGATCCCCCTCTCGTCTGCGTGTGTCTGACTGGTGGCCCCTGGACGCTCACTGCCGGCGCAAAGAGGGATGATGACCTGTGACGCCACGGAGCTGCCACTCTTCCTGGGGACCCGGCCCCCACAGTGCCAGTGGGACAGTCCCTGGGAGAGAAGGCACCACGGTCCTGACGACGGTTTCTGGCGTTGGGAGCTTGGGGGGACCTGCCGCTCTGGGGCAGACCTGCCAGCGAAGGAGGAAGTTACATCCTGGGGGTGTGGGGGCAGACAGGCCTCTGGTGCCAGAAGCAGTGTCACCTCCACAGAAGCTGGGGCCCAGGGCGATGACTCCGGGGCTCACGAAGGCCAAGGGTTCGTGCCTCGGGGGCTGGCTGGGCTGCACTGAGACTTGGGCGGTTCCGTGGGCATCGACCCCGCACAGAGGCTGGGCTTCGACGTGCGACGGCAGAGCACGTGAGTGTCCCTGCGGGGGCCATCCCGGGTCCCAAGGTGTGCGCCCTCGAGCCCCTGCAGACACCTGGTCCAGCCAGGATCACCACAGAGGTACAGCAGTCTCCCTAACCTGTGGGGAATGTGCTCCAAGACCCCTGGTGGTGCCTGAACCCTCAGCCAGTACCTGACCCTACACGGGGGTGCGCAGAGGTAGGCTTACGGCTCTTTTATGGAAAAGACACGCAGGTTATGATGATTGCGACAGCTTTATGAACTCAGAAGAACGTCATTCACAACTGCAAATCCATTTACCCATGCCTGTATGTACTGTTTCTTTCTTTCTTTTTTTTTATCCTCACCCGAGGACATTTTTGCATTCATCCTCAGACAGAGCGAGAGGGAAAGAGGAAGAGAGAGAGAAACATCGATGAAAGGGACACATCGAGTGGCTGCCACCCACACGACCCCAACCGGGGCGGGGGACAAACTGCAACCGAGGTACGTGCCCTTAGCGGGAACCGAACCCAGGTCTCTCTGGTCCACGGGCCGACACTCTAACCGCTGAGCCAAACCGGCCAGGGCTACTGTTTTTTTCTATACGTCCATACATATGAAAAAGTTTAATCCGTGAATGAGGCACGGAAGGGATTAGCAACAGTAGCTAACGACAGGATAATAACGATACACGGATGAAAGGTACCCGACTGTGGCGTTTCTCAGTCAGATAAGGGCAACCTGAGCAGGAGCCCTGTGATGCTGCCACGTCCATCCGACCACCCAGACGCTGCTGGGTGACCGACGGGCAAAGCCCTGGGCGAAGGGATGAGTCCCACCCCAGGCCGGACGGCTCCAGATGGCATCACGATACTCAGAACACTGTGCTTTTTAAAACATCGGCGTTGTCTATTTCTAGAGTTTTCCAGTTAATAGTTTTGGACACTCGGGACCTCTGAGGTTAAGTAGCATCGGAGTCAGATACAGGAGCTCACAGAACAGTGACTTCAACCCTTGTAACTTTTTTTTTTTCATTCTTTCATCCCTTAGTGTATATGTCCACTCACTTTTTTTTTTTTTTATCCTCACCGAGGACATTCTTCGATATTTTGTTCAGATAGAGTGGGAGGGAGAGAGACAAACATCGACGTGAAAGGGACACATCGAGTGGTTGCCACCCACACGACCCAACCAGGGCCGGGGACAAACTGCAACCGAGGTACATGCCCTTAGTGGGAACCGAACCCAGGTCTCTCCGGACCACAGGCCGACGCTCTAACCGCTCAAACCGGCCAGGGCTGTCCACTCACTTATTATATCACTACACAGCACAGGCGACGTGTCAGACATAAGGCCAGCCCGGTGGCGACGGGCAATGACAAGGAACACTGCGTGCTCCGCCCAGCGCCTCCCGACTCGGTTCCCTCCTCCCTGCACACACATGGCTCCATCACTTGGGTCCCACGGGAAAGAACCCAAGTCCTGGAAGGGTGGCACAGCAGGTTTTGCATATTCTGGTCACTCAGATTTCACGGAACCAACCCACTCATTCATTATCAGTGAGTTCCGGGACGAGGGGGAGGGCTTAGGGGTATCTGACTCCTCGTCCATGGGAGCACCCGGGGTGTCTGACTCCTCGTCCGTGGGAGCACCCGGGGTGTCTGACTCCTCGTCCGTGGGAGCACCCGGGGTGTCTGACTCCTCGTCCGTGGGAGCACCCGGGGTGTCTGACTCCTCGTCCGTGGGAGCACCCGGGGTGTCCGACTCCTCGTCCGTGGGAGCACCTGGGGTGTCTGACTCCTCGTCCGTGGGAGCACCCGGGGTGTCTGACTCCTCGTCCATGGGAGCACCCGGGGTGTCCGACTCCTCGTCCGTGGGAGCACCCGGGGTGTCTGACTCCTCATCTGTGGGAAAACTCAAGTGCAGAGCGGACTCCTGGGTCTGGCGGAAATCCCTACTGACTGAAGCTAAACCTAAGGACACAGGACAAAACGCACTTAACCTGTTGAAAATGACGAGGACTGTTGCTGTCATGTACTGGCCAGCAAGCCCCCATCAACACCGAGTGGGATCAATGACTTAATTATAACCCCGTGTGGCCAGCCTATTAAGCGGCCCCGTAAGGCGGGCACTGGATAACACTGGATTAGCCAATCCTCGGCGTTGCTCGGTAATCTCGGACGTCAAAGGCCAGCGTGCGGTCTCTAAAGCACCCCAGTCTCCTGACGGGGCGCCTTCGGGTCCAGCCACTCTGCCATCCCAGGGGTTTCAGCCACAGAGCACCGTGGTGTGTTGCGCCTCGTGGTTTTGTAAGAACAAGAGACAGACTTGCGTTCAGGGACGAGGATTTGCTGTGGACCCTGTCATCTGTACGCTGTGCACCTGTGACTAGGAGCTCATCGGAGCCGAGCCCCGGGTTGCTGACCTGGGAACTGGGGATGGGCAAGGGTACCTGGTCAAGGGCCGGGAGGGCCAAATGGGGTGACCTAGGAGAGCACCCGGCACAGGGTCTCATACCTGGCAGGTGCTCGGAGAAATCACCGTGAATGAGCATGGTGCTGGGCTGGGAGCGGTCATTCAAGAGGACCCACAGCAGAGGGCTGCCCGCTGGCATCGAACCCCCAGGAAAGCGGGAGGGGAGCTGTCCACTGCTCGGCCATGCTGGGAAACGCAGGTGTGGGCCAGGGCCAGGGCAGTGCCTGAAGGATCAGGGCATGAAGCATCTCCCTCCTACGCCCAGGAGACTGAGTGGGAACTCAACTCGGCTGCGTCAGTTCGTTCTCAGGCAACAATGTCCGTAACAAGATGACTCCTTACACCCCTGCGGGCGAAGGAAA